GCTTACGCGCAGCATGCCAAAGCTGTCGATAGGCTCCTGAGCTAACTCTGCGCTAACTCATGTTACACTGCTGGTCTAAAGCCATAACAAAACTTATTAAACTGTGCTGGCTTCTTTCATACTCAGCCACGGGGTTCTTCACTTCTCCTCTTCAGCTGTCTATACACCTCAGCTCACTCCCCATGGCTTGGTGTGGCGGGGCCTCGGCAGTCTTAACCACTCTCACAGATCTTAATGGAAAAGACAAGTCAACCGAGATGGACTCTACAAGAGTATATATAAGACTATACATTCATATATAATATATATATAATATATTCTGTATATTAAAAATATTATAAACTAAACACATAGTATATATAGATATATATATACTCTGCATTTGACGAAGATAAACGCTCCGAAAGTGCTGCTCAACTCCCCTCCACTCTCAGCGGCTCACGGGAACAGCACTTCACATGCTTGGCCCCGGTGAAGAAAACAGCGGCCTGTCTGTTGTGTATTGCAGCCCACCTGGCGGCAACTCCTCTTGCCTCATGCATGCTTCCTCATGTCCCCTTTGATGTATGTGTTGGCGGTGTAGATGCTTGATCAGCACTTACTTGGCTTTCAACTGCCAGCGTGTACCGAAGCGAAAATAGAGGTAAAAATAGATATACCAGCTTCAGACAGGTCCCTACCTTCCGTAGAAGGTATGCAGTGCATAGGGGGAGATAGCAGAGGTAGTGATATATGCCGATGCTGCTTCTATTTGCTTCTGCAACTACTAACCGTCATCCCGCTGAGGCGGGCGGGCTCATTGGATTCGCTGCTGGTTACAGAAAGCTCTCCTCGTTTCCGACTGTCGAGAGTCCCTGTCTGGTGGGTGCATCCCAACCTAATTCAAAGTATGCTGTGAACCGCAGCTGTTGCGCAACAGCAGTGTGCTAGTGATGCGCAGTGAGACAGGCCTCAGAAGGAATGCTCCGCCTGGCTTCAGCTCCGGTGAGCTGTGTATGGCGGGTACAAGCTCCTCATAAATTGATTTGCAGAAGCGATCCTCAGAAATCCACTCGAGATGTAGATGGCGTGGAAATGCATTGTAACTTCGCCTCGTCGAGTGCGTGACTGTCGCCTCGGTCTCCTGCAGTAGCTCCATCTGTAATGATTTTGCCGCTGCCTTTGTGAAGAGAGCCTGAGGAAATATTGGTCATTCCCTGAATCGTTCAAGAAAAATGAGGTCGGTGGTGTGGAGTTGTCTCCAGAGGTGATTTAAGCCAAGGTGTTGAGCCGAGAACGAAGAGCAAAGGGCCATTCCCAACGTATAAAAATCTTATTGTTTTCATTCCCTTTTCTATATTTCGCGCGGCATGCGAGTCTATCAACACATACTCGCCTTTTTTAACACTAACTGCCGAACTTCATTTGTGATAGTTGCCTGTCGGCCATTGCTCTGCTTTCCTTATGCATTCCTATTCTGCTACAAGCTGTGTATGGATCTCTGTAGCTGCGGGTATGCATAGCTAGCTGCAAACAAGCAGGTCCAGCGTCGGGTCAGACAACACTGTGGTGTAAGCCAGTGAAGCCAGAGGAGTTGGGGTCGAACAGTGCACTGTTGAATAATAAACTCTTTCTGCATATCGGAGGAAATTATAAACCCGGTGCGGAAGTAGTGTTGTTTCTCTCTTTGATTCATCAGTGCTGCATGCTAGTTCCACCCTTTCATCTCCTATTTTCCTCTTCACCGTCCAGCTGGTTGCAGGTGTTCATTCTCCATGGCATATTCCCGCCATAGGGCACTCAAAGAAACACTGCGAGTGCGCTGTTTGATTTCGGCGATACATATCAATGTAGTGCTCTATCGATACCCTCCGTTGCTCAGCTCTTCTCAGCTCTGCCGTAGCCTGTTGAACAGACGTTATAGGGGGAGTATCCAAATGCTTCTCTTATTCAGCGCAGATGTTGCACCACTAGTTCGTGCTATGCAGCAGGCCGTGCAGATGCAAATGAAGAGTTCGTTGCTCGGGCCCCCCTTTCATAGGTGGCCCGATGTCCTGGGAAAGGGGGAGAAGCGACTGGCTGCAACTAGCGCTGCGCAGCACGCATGCACTGCAACCCTTTTTTGCTGCATGCAGTAACACTATAGATGACTGCTAAACAGTTACTAGGCGTTCACACTGTTGAACTTGTGTTGTTGTTCGTCGTGCTTGGCCCCTCGTAGACAGCCTGATGCGTGCGTCAGCACTGGACAGAGGATGCAACAGATCACCNGTTTCTTCTTTTTGCTTTCGAGGCAACAACCCACTAGGCTTCGCGGAGAGGAATTGTATTTCGGCAAAAGATATGTAAAAACCTAAATAAGTTTAATAACAATTACATAAATTAATAACATTAGTTGAACTGGCTGGAGAAACAACACAAAGAAACCACGTGTGCTGCAGCAGCGCGTTTAGGAGGATACTTTCCCTTCTGCTCGCCTCATCATAACAATAATAACAAAAAAAAATAATAATATAATTATAATAATATAATTATAATAATTTAAATTCTTTTTTAATTTATTTTCAGGGTCCTAGCAACACCAGTGCAAGAGCTGCGTCGGCACCGGGTTCATCAGCCTGTCGGCACCGAGGCCCTATCACATCACCCTCCCCCCGCAAACCCTAAACCCTAAACCCTAAACCCTAAACCCTAAACCCTAAACCCTAGACATTAAACCCTAGACGCCAAACACTAGATCTTAAACCCTAAACCCTAGAAACTTGTTCTCTGTCTCGTGCCTAGCAAGCAAGCCGATGCAGTCGATCGATGTCTAGCGAATACTGCCTGGGGCTTACAGTACAGCCATGAGGACTCTGGCTATTCTGTTGTTTCTTCTTCACTGCTGGGGGGCATCGGCGCTCTCGCAGCTGTGGGGCCCCCGGGGCCCCTCGAAGACAATAGAAGGCGAGGACGGGAAGGGTACGCTTCGTGTTGGTGTTGCTGCTGTTGCTGCTGCTGTTTTTTCCCTTTCTGTTTTCTTTGTTGTTGTTGCTGCTGCTGCTGCCGGCATTGTACTTCGCTGCTGCTGCTGCTGCTGCTCGTATTTCTGCAGAGGCTGTCCAGCTGTTGCAAGCTGAAGAACTACGGGCTATCATCGGCAGCAGTGGAACCAACAGCAGCAGCAGCAGCAGCAGCAGCAACAGCAGCAGCAGCAGGAATGATAGAGGCGATGGCAAGGAGGCTGCGGTGTTGTTGTTTGCTTCTTGGGATTCCAGCAGCGCGTAAGCTCAAACCCTAAACCTCCTATGCCTCCTACAGCCCCAGCAGTACTCTACCCCTGGCGTATAGAGGTTTAGTACGCAGCATCTTAGTTGTGCGTAGCAGCAGAAGCAGCAGCAGCAGCAGCAAGAGCAGCAGCAGCAACAGCAGCAGCAGCAAGAGCAGCAGCAGCAGCAGCA